GCATAGACACTGAACTTAATGATAGCTTGAAGAAGTACACAGTGGTCTGTTTTCTGAAAACCTATGAGTCTCCCTTTCAAGGTCAACTCCAAAGAAAGAATACTGTCATTAACGCTTATACTGCAGCTGAACTATCACATAATCCATTTCCACTAGCACGTCCAGAAAACATTGAAGTTTCTTCTGCACTTGGCACTTCATCAGTAGCGCATGCAGAAAAATCATCAAAGGATCAAATATTCACACCAACCACAAAGTTGGTACTTTAAGAAATTGCTGCAGCCAGTTCTTGCAAAGAAAGCCACACATCTACAAATAGTGGAGTGAAAAGAAGCCTTGAGTTTCCAAAAAGTCCATCTCAAAATCAAGCTTTACCAGCAGACACACCTGTTAAACATGCAACAAAGGCTCCTAAACAGTTTGCGAAAGAAGCTGCAAAACAGTAGAGTCCATTGGGCAATATCAAAGACAATCTAGCAAAGAAAGCTAAAGCTAAGCAAGTCTAATATGGCCTAATTCTGTACTTTTGTTAAATCTTTTGTTAATTACCTCAGTGCCCGCCTCTATTGCTTAGACAATATGTTTTGAATTATATTATGATCCATTATTCTTTTGACTTAAAAAGTAATGGATCCTAATATAACTGTTAATAGTTTAACAAACAATGTTGTAGTTCAATAGGCAATGAAACTTATTTAAGCCTCCTAATATGTAACTATGGCTAGCACTGAAGTATGTATTCTACTAAGACATGAATGACTTAGTTTCTGTAATGTATGGTTGTGATTTGCATATTATTTACCTCTTGAACCTATATATTCATTATGATCTTTTAGCAAATTATCCTCAATGTTACAACAAATCCAAAAAACAAAAAAACTCAATAAATAGAAAATTTTTTATCCATAATTTAGTTGGTCATATCAATGGGTAGGCCAGTGCATAGCACGGCTAGACCCATGCTAGTATATACATGTATCGAAGAACTAAACCTCCCCATGCATGGTGTTTCCAATAAACATATAAATGTTAGTGACATTGTGGGACGGAAAAGAAACCATCGTTTGTTAGAAAGGCCTTTAAAATCATAATAAAACATGAATCTTATGTTATCATTTCAACTAATTTTTAATCCTTCTTAATAACGTGAAATTAAACAGAGACATGATCTAGTCTGATATGTATATTGCTTTATGCATGCGTTAAGTTTTTTTTTATCTTCTCATTTGTGCTTTTATATTGATTCTTGAGGGGAAAAATGTACTTTTCATCCCTAATATTTAAGGTGTTAACCAATTTCATCCCCAAAGTTTTATGCAAAACATATTTCATCCTTGTAATTTTATAATTTTGACTAATTTCATCTTTAAAGTTTCACACGAACACATTTCATCCGCATAGTTTAACAGATTTGGCTAATTGAGGACAATTGATGGATTGTCAAGGATTTTAAATAGAATATTGTCACTTGACCACAGCATGCTCATTAGTTAAAAAAACACCGGACCAACAAAAAGTTTAAAAATCTTTTTTTAATTCACTTTCTCATTTTAGTACAAAAAAAAAACCTAAGAAATTTTTAGCCACCATTATTTTCTTCTTAACCACAATCGAACAAGAAAATCCAAAGAAAAAGAAGTCGTGGAAAACAAACAACCTCACTATAGCCAATTGGGAAAAAAATGTCGAACACATTACAACTAATTGAAGAAAAATATTAATGTGAAAGAAAGAATGGTTTGTGTGATGCCCCCACTTCTCCCAAGGGCAAACCCAAGGGTATCCGCGGGACGCCTGCCCAATTCTCATCAGAACTCGGTATGAATTCAATTCAAACTTAAGAATAACCAATCGATACTAAAAGTCGAAGATATAAAGGAAGGTCAATTCCTTAATAATCGTTCAAGTCTTACATCTTAAGCTACCAAGATATCTTACATTCCCAAAATATACAACTTCCAAAAGTTGTCTAAACAAATACATTCAAAATTCTAATCAAAAGGGCCATCAAGTCGATATCTCCATAATTCCTTCCATTTCAGCTCCTGTTAAGGAAAATAAGTCTAACGGGGTGAGCGAATACTCGTGAGGCCAAGAAAACATGCAAAACACATAGTTCAAATAACAATATCATTTAAGCGAGAAATAAAGCTGTAACACTCAAACAATTCACAATTCTCAATTTAACACATTCACTGAGGATACAGGAGCTCTCAATTCCTACTTGCTTTGCCAAAATTCAATCCAATACTTTCTCGTAATGACATTCCGTCACCCAGGTAGGTAATCAAGTCCGTAGAAGTTCACTACTCCAATTATGGTTTTGAGTCGACATGAGAGGTACCTCCCACCCAAATCGGTGTGGTACATGCTATCGCTTAGGGAATCGATTATACGTTTATGGTTCTGAGTCGACATGAGAGGTACCTCCCACCCGAATCGGTGTGGTACATACTATCGCTCAGTGGTCGATAAGACATCGCTCCAATCGACTTATACTTTATTTATAGCTTTGAGTCGACATGAGAGGTACCTCCCACCCGAATCGGTGTGGTACATGCTATCGCTCCGAGAACCAATTATAACACTGAGACGGTATGAGAGGTACCTCCCACCCAAATTGGTATGGTACATGCTATCCGCTCAGAGCTCACGAGTTAAAAAGATTCATGTGCGATTACCAATTATTGTTTACGGTTCTGAGTCGACATAAGAGGTACCTCCCACTCGAATCGGTGTGATACATACTATCGCTCAGGGAACCGATTATAGCACTGAAACGGTATGAGAGGTACCTCCCACCCGAATCAGTGTGGTACATGCTTCCGCTCAGAGCTTACGAGTTAAACGTATTCATGTGCAATTACCAAATCATATGTATTCAGATCTTAAGTACCACATAGTTCAAAAAGAGAGAGGACAAGGGCGTCCCCACAAGTAAAATATGATTGGTCGATAAGATTTACTTCGATCGACGTCGAGTCAACACAAATGTAATTTGCAATGGCAACACTTCACTTAGTTCACATAGCAATTCACTTCATACAACTTGAATATCAATTCACATAGCACAATTTAATTGTAGCATCACTTAAGGGAGAACGAGTGCGACAAAGTACACACTCGTCTCAACAATTCCATAATACTCAATTAACAATTCAAGCATTTGTCAACAATTCAAACAGGAGAAATGATTGTTGGACCAACCAAGACACTGTTTATGGATGAAATATCAACAGGCCTTGACAGCTCTACAACATTTCAAATAGTCAAGTGCGTGGAACAGATTGTGCATTCGACAGAGGCTACCGTGCTAATGTCCCTCCTGGAGCCTGCTCCGGAGACTTATGACCTCTTTGATGATATCAATCTTTTGTCAGAAGGCCAAATTGTATATCAGGGTCCAAGAGCGCACGTTCTTGAATTCTTTGAGAGCTATGGTTTTAAGTGTCCAGAGAGAAAGGGAACTGCTGATTTCCTGCAGGAAGTAATTACACGTCCAGCCTTCAATATATGATAGCCATAGTTCGCTTAAATATTAAAATCAGTCGACAATCAAGTTAGATTTGTAATAGCACGACACATAATTACCATCTCAAACATCATATTAATCTTTCGCCTTGCTGTTAAAAAGTTATGTCAAGACAAGACCAGAAACAGTATTGGGCAGACCGAAGCAAGCCATATAGATATATATCTGTAGCTGAATTTGCAAATATGTTTAAACGTTTCCATGTTGGTCAGCTTCTAGAGAACGAGTTCTCAGTCCCTTACAACAAGGTACGGAGTCACAAAGCAGCTCTGGTGTTCAAAAAGTACTCAGTTCCCAGAAAAGAGCTTCTAAAAGTAAATTTTGACAAGGAGTGGATACTAATCAAGAAAAACTCTTTTTATACATTTTCAGGACTTTTTGTTCTCAAAGCAATGAGCAACGTGTAACAATCAATGTAGGTCAATCATAGACAAGACTTCTTTGTATACAACATTTTTTGTGCAGTCTGTGTGCTCAGAGAAAGAAGTAAGTGGTCTAATAAGTACTTTCACATTGTTTTCTATTTTTCCCCATGATAATGAAACATATAATTGACCATGTGAGAATACAGGCTCTTTTACATATAAGCCAACGTAATCTAATGTCTGCCCTTGTGCTTTGTTAATTGTCATTGCGAAATATAACCTCAAAGGGAATTGAATCTTTTAAAGGGAACGGAGCAAAGTTCATCATCTGAACATTGTAAAGGAATTCGAGGTATGAAAACTGACTTACTTGTAAATGGGCCAAAAGAAATATCTGCCTGAATGACATTATTTCCAAACTCTTTGCATATAAGTCGTATGACATTTGAAAGTTCTTCACTTGGATTTATATTTCAGATTAACATGACAGGGCAGTTCTTCTTAAGTTTCAACTCATGTGGAGGCAATCCTTTTGTTGTAAGTATATTTAGAAAATCTTGGTTTTCCAGTTGGTGCGATACATCAAGAGTTTCATCAAAACTTAGATATGTTCTTTGTGGACCTAGGAATTTGTCGATTAGCATATCATTGATTTCATGCACAAAATTGTTTCATGTCATCAAGATAGCTCTATTAACAATTGACGATGGATTATTACTGAATGCCTCCATATCTGGGAATACCATACTTACCAAAGTCTCTACTGATGAAGCATCATCTACAAAGGGTAGATTTATTGGTGTTGAGATCTTGACTTCATTCATATGATTTGATATTTCTGTACCATCACCAATTCGAAGTAGAAAATTGCAGAAGTTCTTATCTAAATGAGCTCGCATATTTTCCTTTAGCCTTAGCTTTGTTAGTTGTTGCCATATAGGTGACATAACTAAGCTTGTACTAATAATATCTTCCTTATAGCCTCTTGTCACAGCTGGTAATGTTTGGCGGAAATCTCCTCCAAAAACCACAGTTTTACCACCAAATAACACATCGCGACCAGTGACATCTTTCATCATTTCATCAAAGCGTTCGATTGATTTTCATTTCACCATACTTGGTCCATCCCAGATAATAAGCTGTGCATCTCTAATCAACTGTGCAATCACAGTTTGCTTTCTAACATGACAACTTTTGGAATCGTCATCATGTAGAGGTATCTTAAATCGTGAGTGTGCAGTACAGCCTCCAGGTAAAATTGAAGCTGCAATGCCTGAAGTTACAGTTGCAAGTGCTATACCACCTGTTGATTTTATTTTTGCAAGAAGGGCTCGATATAGAAATGTTTTCTCTGTACCTCATGGTCCATCCACGAAAAATGATGTTGAGCTATTACTCATAATAGCATTTAAGATCTGTTCATAGGCATTCCTCTGATCCTTGTTTAGTTGATCAATTGCTCGAAGGTCATTCTCATTTACAGTTATATTCCTCTCAGATTCTATATCTTTTGCTACTACTTCTTGTTGGGACTTTGGATCAGTGGTGTGTTCAACTGATAATCAACTAAACTCTTTCCCATTGATCGTAAGTAGTTGTCAATGCATTGTAGCACTCTCACTTCTACAAGATGAATTGGGATTGAAGAATCTCACCTTATATCTTCCGATAGAAAGTCTTGAAATTGTAGCCATAGCTGAGCAGGGTTCTTTGGGCTGCAATAAACTAAGATAGCAGCAAATAATTGACGCAACGAATTCGGCATTGGATACGCAACTGCTTCCAATAGACATAGCTCAGCTGCATTATCTGTTTGTAATAGTCCCATCATATCCGCAGCTTCACGGAATGAAGCACAAACATGTCCATGTACAGTTCTCAAATCTAAAAACGAAGTCGGCTTCCTCACATGCATTAACAACATTCGTAAATAATACCTTTCTCCTTCTGATGGATGTGCACCTAAAATGCGGCCAATGACTTCTCTTTGCTTACGCTACTCCGAAATTTTTGATTGTTGGTTCCATTTGAAATATTCAGGAAATTCTGCATACACGCAATTCAAATTCTTTGCATAGTTGTCTACCTATTCATGAGAAAGAACTCTGTTAGCATGGTTTTTTGTAAAGCTCAATTTTTTACAACACTATGAAGCGAGCTTTTTTTTGGAAATGTTATTGGTTGTTTGTTCTCCAAATGTACTTGTAAGCTCATGATAGATGGATGTATTTGATTCAAATCAAAGGCAAAAATTCGCCACATTGCTTCGAGAGGGGATACCCATCTTGGTGCAACATAATTTTTTATTTCATCTATAGTGCTACTTGTCTCAATGTCACTCAACTGATACAAAACTCTATCATGCCCTTTGTATATATACTTGTATATATATTTGACAGCTTGAATTGTGGAGCATATTTCAGCATTAATATGACAATTAAATTTTGCTAAGAGGTAAGGATTATAAGGTACTACCCAACGATTATCAAGATAATGGCCACGTGCCTTAACTTTCTTCTTGTCATTTCGTCGACGATACATTGGATATGAGTTGGTTGTATGTATCGTTGACTCACAGAATTGCTTGGGATAGTTATCTTTGCAACCAATATGCTTGCGCATACATGCACATGTGGGATTCATAGTACCACAAGGACCATGCATCGTGTGCTTAACAACAAGACCATGTAAATATTCGTGCTCAATGATATCGGGCAACTCGGCACCAACAATTCGGTCATAAGCTTCAGGAGAATACATCTTACTCCCTTGTTTTAGAATAATTAAGAAGTGAGCATGTGGGAGACCTCGTTTTTGGAATTCAATAACATATGTGTACGCTACTACCTTTCCAAAAATATTCTTTTTGAATAGTTCATTCTTTAATTGCTCCAATTTTGCTCTGAATACATGAGAAATTAAATTCGGTCGATTCTCAACTTTATTAGTTTGAAGAAGCAAACTTTTAATTTCAAGCCAATTTCAATTACACGTCATTGTTAAGAGGATGTCCGATTTTCCATATCGTTTGACCAATGACATTGCATCCATGTAGCGATGCCTCATATCACGAGGTCCTCCAATGAATGATCCTGGAAGGACTATTCGTTTTCCAACATTGGAAGATGAAGATTCTCCTTGTGAGAGACTATCAATAAGGCCTTGATATAATTCTGTTCGAAGCCGCGTTTGATTCTCATTCTGTCTATAGAAATCCAACCTTGCTGATTCAATTTTCACATACATATCTACAACATATTGTTATAGCAATCTCCCTATATGCAATAACATAGATTGGTCGTTCTCTCTAATCTGTAGTTTGTAGCAGTAGTACTCTCTCACTACAACAAAAATGGTCTTTCCTGACATATCTGTAAGGACACTTGTTGGTTTGTGTCATTATAGCATTCCTATCATGACACTTATTAGCAATTCAATAATATATACTCTAATTTTTTTTATTTTATTAGATATAAAAATAATAATGTGCCTTTAGATTATCTAACATGACACTTGAGAAAATATGAGATACACCAAAAAAAAGAAAGACACTAAACGGCATCGTTTGATTTTGGCGAAAGATTCATTTGCCCTAAAACACTCAAAATTTTCATTCTGCCGGCCAAAACACTTACTCAAAACAATTGCTCAAAATTTTCATTTTCCAGTTCCACCATTTCCAGCCACCCTCTCTCTGTCTCTCTATCTCTCTGTTGTCAGATTCCGATGTAGTTGGTGGGAAAAATGGGTAGCAGCCAAGCAGCAGTTTCCATGAAGCTTCAACCGTGGCTCCCTCAGGCAGCTAACAGCAGCATCAGCAACAAAATCTCTCTCGAAGGAAACCCACTTCCGGGTCATCATCATCATCTTCTTCGAATTCGGCTCAACAAATTTCTCCCTCGACTCGAATAGTTTATTGAGAATTGTCTTCCAAGTCCAATCTCAATTTGCCCTTTTGACAAACTACCTGGTTCATTGGCTTACTTTTACTAATGGCAATCTTGTTTTTCGGTCTTTCCATTTTCCTTTTTCTTACCCTTAACTCCGATTTCACCTCTTCCCCCATCTCTACCGCTTCTGAAGGCGTCCAGGTAAGCCAAAAGCCCACTTACTACTTCAAATTCATGGTTTTTGCGTTCCTGTAGTTGCACAGATATGCGGTGCATCTTTGTGTGTGTGTGTGTGTGTGTTTTTCCCCCTATTTGTTGAAATTGCACGCGAAAAGTTGTTTTATAGTTATTTTTGGTTCAAAATTTTGACCAAGTTTGTGCTATTATAGGCATGTGATGGTTATAAATTATAGCGCTTCAGAGGTTTATAAGCTAAAAGAGGACAAGGAAAGAGAAAATGGAGTTGTTTGTGTAGAATTAGTAATAGCCTTTGACATGTTTGATGAAATGCCTCGATAATCTTTGTTGAAAATCTAGGTGGGTGTCAGTTAAAAATTGCTATTTGGATTTTTTAAAGAGTTGATTTATGAATTAAATTTGATTTTTTTTCCTGTTTTATAGTTTGAGGTTTCTGTTGTGTGGCGAAAATAAAAAAAATGGTGTATGATGCTTTGAGTTCTAATAGTTGTATAATGGGGCTTTGTGCTAAGTCATTCTTATTTTGTTCGGCATCTATGATTTTGGTAGATTACTTATGGGTTAGTGATCAAGTTGATGCATTAGAGAACAAAGTTTAGGCTGCATTCGCATGATGTACCATATGGCTCTGGTAGTGGGCAACAATCCATCACTGGTTTTCCCAACGTTGATGGCTCAAACAGCTATTGGGTATGTTTCTTTTTCTAGTATCTATTTTTTCTAGATCATCATAATTTTCTAAGTTTAGGTATGATTAAACTTGGCTTGCAGATTGTTAGACCCGTACTAGATACCAACGCCCAACAAGGGGATACAATCAAAGGTGGTACCATCATCAGGCTGCAACACATGAGGACCAGAAAATGGTTACATCGCCACTTGCTAAATGTAAGTCTTACTATGATGCCTATTGGCTTCTAAGGTATCAAACCAACAACTGATACTCGATCGTACCTCTTTTGATCACTTGTGCTTTTTCATACCAAAAAGGTACCCAGCAGACCTGTTCGAAAGAGTTGAGATCAACTCAGTTTTAGACTGGCATCACACCAATCTACGACATAGTTCAGGTGCCCATCTTAAGTTTTGGCTCTCTATTAAATTATTACTAATCTAGCTATACATTATTAGCTTGTCTTGCCTTATCAAGAGAATTGGGATTTGTCTAGCGATGTCTAGATATAGTCATTCCAAGTTTCATTTTCAGTATTTTGCTTATAAATGATACGTTATCATCAATATTAATGTTGTACTCCTTGATGCATGCGCTTATTTTTCTTACAGCTGGATTAGTCTTCCATAGCAAATGGATCTTTTTTGAAGTCATTATGATCTCATCCCATGAAATAATTTTACCTTTCTTTGTTATTTGATTGTTGCCTATGAACATTTTGTGTGCTTCCAGTTAATTGATCTTTAAGAGAGTCATTCTAGATTTATTGTCCCATAACAATCTTTAGCTAATATATTACTGGTTTTCTTTTGGGTTGGCAGACCACACTTTTGGATTACATCAGGAAAAGCAAGGTATGAATCGATTATTTTTATTGATGTTCACATTGAGGTACATTATTTGTAATGCCATTATGATTTGATGACTTTAGAAGAAGTACCTTATTCCATCTTATGTTATGATACTTGAATAGCTAGGAACTAAATCTTAGACAACCTACTGTAGGTGGCAGCATCTGAAGCAGGTGGAATTACTCAAGGCATGGGGGCATACAAGGTACAAGTACCTTTTGATGGCAAGCCACAGACTCGTGTTTTCCTTGACACCCCTGGACATGAGGTAATTAATGATGTAGCATTGGTTCTAACTTTTAACTGCTTATTCATGCAAGTTTTTTTTCTTTTTTTAAAATTTTTATGTCAAATGCTCTTCTTGGAGATTTTGCAGACATATCTTAAAAAGCTTTTGTCAAGATGAATTATCTAACATAACTGTAAAAATGGTTGGATAGGCATTTCGAGCAATGAGAGCTCGTGGAGCCAGAGTAATAGACATTGTTGTTATTGTAGTTGCTACTGATGATGGAATTCGACCTCAAACAGAAGAGGCCATTGCTCATGCCAAAGCAGCTGGAGTGCGAATTGTTATTGCTATAAACAAAGTGCGCTTGCATTTATTCTGAGATTTTCCACTGTGTGTTGGCTTGTATATCATTTAGTCTCATTTGCATTCTGCTTTTGATGTATGAAACATGATAACAAATCTCCTCTTGCTTATGGGAGTTGGCATTTTCAGTTCTCATAATTACAGTACTGCTCAAGTTTGATGTTTCTAGATTTTTGCATCATAGCATATTATCTTATATGCATTCTGTTCTTTGGGATAATTTTAAAAGTCCTTTGGGTTTCTGATTGACGGAATGTACAGCAGGGAGCATTACCTGCAGGTTGCTTCTATCTCAAAAAAAAAAAAAAAAAAACTCCTGACAATTAAAAGTGCCAGCATAGAATTCGATATTCTAATGTTGTACTATACCTATCCTGACACTTTCAATTATCAAGAAAAGAGATTTTTGTTGGCAGATGGAATATTATAACAGCATAGTTTTCCTGACATGTTGAATAGTATGAGTCTATCCCCACATTGGAAGGGACAACACTCGCCCTCGGTATGAGGATAGATAAAGTGTCAGGTTAGATTATCTATACTGATACTTTTAAATGCCGTTAAAGGCCATTTTTGTTGTAGTGTCTACAGGAGACCATATTGCGTTTTCGCTTGTTCTTACAAATTGCTGGTCAATATAGTTAGGCACAAGTAAGGTTTAGTATTATAATACAGTATCATTTAAAAGTAATAAATATATTAGAGTAAGAAGTAAAGAAAGTAAATAAGTTGCTTAATTAGTATAAGAAAACACTATATAAAATTATAGAAAAATATAGAACATAGCATAGAGCTAATTACCTGAATTCTCAGCATTCATTAATTGATCTGGTGTTGTCCCAGCACCTGGAGCTAGCTCAACTTCTTCCTTGCAAGAAGTTGCTTGACATGCATTTGGATTTCATGGAATACGTTTTATGCCTTGATGCCAGCCTGGTTCACCATTTGTAAAAACGAGTGGATATTGTAACGAATCATAACAACCAAAGTAATGTTTGATAATTTCAGTTTTTCCATTTTTTTCTATAAACCGGAATATTTTTTATGTCATTTGCCCATTATCACAATTATCTGTCCAAACGGCACCAACTTGCAATACAGTTGGTTTGTTGAATACTTTTTGATCCACTGCAGGGCTAGATTCTAATACTATTTTATAATTATCTATGTTTGGTAAATTTTGTAAGCCTCGAAAAAATGCAGAATAAGGATTAATCTTCAAGATCTCCTCAGATCTCCTCAAGTTTGGTAATTAGGCTCTGTTGAAATCTATTAGAGATGGATAACCGATTTACTGTTTCATGATCAGTATCAAAAAAAATAACTGCACATTCTTTGCCTTCTCACCATCATTAGGGATTAACTGATTTATAAAGTGGTACATTTCGCCTTGGATTCTAAACGTATATATTCCATTATAAGACTGATTCAATGATTTGTCACAATTCACCCCAATAGATGTGAATGCAAACATGTTATTGTAACTTCTAACGCACCTGCGAAATTCAAGAGTTTTTTCAGAATCCTCAAGGTACAACATCATCAGCTCTCTTGGCATTTCAGTTGGGAGTAACTGGATTTCACCAGAAGAACAGCAAAATCTAGGTGGTTCTAAGTGAAATTTCTTTGCTTTACGATGTTGGCAATCTGGAATATCAGGTAATATCTCAGGTTCAGTGGAAATAATTCTCAATGGATCCATTGCTAATATCTTACGTCGCTTCTGCCATGTATCACCCTGTCGAACCAACCAACACTTTTTGCTTGGTGGCATAGATGGAACATTACTATCAGTAATGATAGGCACTAAGCATGTATCTCTTGAATAACCAGCAACACTACTCTTCGAAGTTGATGCTAAAACTGTTGATTCTACATGCATTTCTTCTACACATTTATGCATTCCTCTGACTGACGTTTCTATACAATCTTCTTTTGTTCTATAGCCACTTACATGACTGAAAGAACTACCTCTTGAGCGCGAACAGATTATTGTAACATGTTGTTCATCTTGATTGTTTATTCCTTCAGTGTCGATA